TATATATATATTTTTTTAAATAAAATATCTGTTGATGAGAAATACCTCAATAGATGCTACAAGCATGTTCATAATAAATAAAAATCTAGCTGTGACTTTAAAAATGCCCTATACGCCAATAACAGACAAATGGAGAGCCAAATCATGAGCGAACTCTCATTCACTATTGCAACAAAGAGAATAAAATACCTAGAAATACAACTTACAAGGGATGCGAAGGACCACTTCAAAGAGAACTACAAATCACTGCACAAGGAAATAAGAGAGGACACAAACAAATGGAAAAACATTCCATGCTCATGGATAGGAAGAATCAGTATCATGAAAATGGCCATACTGCTCAAAGTAACATAGATTCAGTGCTATCCCCATCAAACCACCATTGACTTACTTCACAGAACTGGAAAAAACTACTTTAAATTTCATATGGAACCAAAAAAGAGCACACATAGCCAAGACAATCCTAAGAAAACAAAACAAACAAAAAAAAAAAATAAAGCTGGAGCTATCAGGCTACCTGACTTCAAACTATGCTACAAGGCTGCAGTAACCAAAACAGCATGATACTGATACCAAAACAGATATATAGACCACTGTGACAGAACAGAGGCTTCAGAAATAACACCACACATCTACAACCAACTGATCTTTGAAAACCCTGACAAGAACAAGCAATGGGGAAAGCATTCCGTATTTAGTAAGTGGTTTTAGGAAAACTGGCTAGCCATATGCAGAAAGCTGAAACTGGATCCCTTCCTTGCACCTTATATAAAACTTAACTCAAGATGGATTAAAGACTTAAACATAAGACTTAAAACGATAAAAACTCTAAAGAAAACCAAGGCAATACTATTCAGAGCATAGGCATGAGCAAAGACTTCATGACTAAAACGCCAAAAGCTATGGCAACAAACGCCAAAATTGCCAAAGGGATCTAATTAAACTAAAGAGCTTCTGCACAGCAAAAGAAACTGACATCAGAGTGAACAGGCAACCAACAGACAAAGGGCTAACATCCAGAATCTACAAAGAACTTAACCAAATTTACAGGAAAAAAAAAAAAACAAATAACCCCATCAAATTTGGTAAAGGATATGAACAGGCAATTCTCAGAAGAAGTCATTTATGCAGCAACAGACATATAAAAAATTCCCATCACTGGTCATTAGAGAAATGCAAATCAAAACCACAATGAGATACCATCTCATGCCAGTTAGAATGGTGTTCATTACAAAGTCAGAAAACAACAGATGCTGGAGAGGATGTGGAGAAATAGGAATGCTTTTACACTGCTGGTGGGAGTGTAAATTAGCTCAACCATTGTGGAAGACAGTGTGACGATTCCTCAAGGGCATAGAAATAGAACTACCATTTGACCCAGCAATCCCATTACTGGGAATATACCCAAAGAATTATAAATCACTCTATAAAGACACAGGCACACATATGTTTATTTTGGGACTGTTCACAATAGCAAAGACTTGGAACCAACCCAAATGTCCATCAGTGATAGACTGGATAAAGAAAACGTGTCACATATACACCATGGAATACTATACAGCCATTAAAAAGGATGAGTCAATGTCCTATGCAGGGACATAGATGAAGCTGGAAACCATCATTCTCAGCAAACTGACACAAGAACAGAAAACCAAACACCACATGTTCTCACTCATAGGCAAGTGTTGAACAATGAGAACACATGGACACAGGAAGGGGAACATCACACATTGGGGTCTGTTGGGGGTTGGGGGGCTAGGGGAGGGGTAGTGGGGGTTGGGGAGATTGGGGAGGGATAACATTGGGAAAAATACATAATGTAGGTGACCGGGGTGTGGAGGCAGCATGGCCTGTGTATACCTATGTAACAATCCTGCAGGATCTACACATGCAACCCAGAAATTAAGTACAATGAAAAAAAAATAAAAAATAAAATAAAATACTGTAGAAGCCTGGTTGGGCACGATGACTGACACCTGTAACCCCAGCACTTTGGGAAGCTGAGGCAGGCAGATCGCTTGAGCCCAGGAGTTTGAGACCAACCTTGGAAACATGCTGAAACCCCATCTCTACAAAAAAAAAAAATACAAAAATTAGCTGGGTGTTGTGGCTCACGCCTGTAGTCCTAGCTACTTGGAAGGCTGAGGTGAGAGGATGTGGGAGGCAGATCTTACAGAGCCAAGATCATGTCACTGCTCTCCAGCCTGGGTGATAAAACCAGACCCTGTCTTAAAATAAAATAAAATATAATATTACATAAGCCTGAAATCAAATAATACTATCAAGTAAGGTTCTAGTTGAGGAAATAAAAGTTACTTGAAACATTAAAAAAAAAACATTTTCTTGCACACAAGTTTATCAGTTTTCACTTATGTAATATTTAATGCTTTAAGGTTTTTTCCCTTCATTTAAATCTATTTTTTTTTTTTTCTGAGATGGAGTTTCGCTCTTGTTACCCAGGCTGGAGTGCAATGGCGCGATATTGGCTCACTGCAACCTCTGCCTCCTGGGTTCAGGCAATTCTCCTGCCTCAGCTTCCTGAGTAGCTGGGATTACAGGCACACACCACCATGCCCAGCTGATTTTTTGTATTTTTAGTAGAGACAGTGTTTCACCATGTTGACCAGGATGGCCTCGATCTCTTAACCTCGTGATCCACCTGCCTCAGCCTCCCAAAGTGCTGGGATTACAGGCGTGAGCCACCGCGCCTGGCCCCTTCATTTAAATCTTTACTTCATCTGAAATTAATTTTACTTTATGTGAGACAATAGGATGTTTTTCTTTTCTGCATAATTTGAGATTGTAGTTGTAATTACCTCATTAACTGAAGTGGGTTTTTTCTTAAGAAATTTGGTTTAAATTCCCATTTTTTTTTGTATTCTCTCTTATACTTTGCTTATTAACCTCTAGTTTTATTACATTATCATCAAAGAAAATCAGTGGCAAAATTTCCATTTCAAAATGTAATGACTTTAGTCTCATGTATTATTATTACGTTTTAATACATAAAATAGTATTTTATTTATATGTTTAGTTCATATTTATAGAAAATGAAGTTGTTCAGATGGATTCCCCTATCTTTAAATGAGTGGTTATAGTTGTTGACTGTAGCCACACCAGCCTTACCATCCAATTTGTCTTTGTATTTTGTTTTAGTGGCACAGTATTAAGATAATCCTAAATCATACAAGAAATTAATCTCATATAATAGCAGCTGTCATACTGCATCCTCGGAATTCTCATCACTAAAACAGAGATGTCAGTAAAATATTTTATAACAGTTGCTTTTTTCAGAGTGCTTTAAAATATTGTTTAAAAAATTTTTAAACCATGTGGTACACATACACCATGGAACACTATAAAACCAAGAATGGAATGAAATCTGGTCCTTCTCAGCAACAAGAATGTAGCTGGAGGCCATGAAACTAACGTAGAAACAGAAAGTCAAATTCAGCTTGTTCTCTTTCAAATGGGAGCTAAACATTGGATACATATAAAGATGGGAACAACAGTGGGGACTACAAGAGGAAGAAGGAATTTTTATGGTTAGCTTCCTCTGTTTCTTTCTCTTTTTTCCCCCCCATTTATTTATTTTATTGCATTTTAGGTTTTGGGGTACATGTGAAGAACATGCAAAATTGTTGCATAGGAACACACGTGGCAGTGTGATTTGCTGCCTTCCTCCCCATCACCTACATCTGGCATTTCTCCCCTTGCTATTTCTTTAAAAATAGGTTTTTCAATTAATTTTTTCCAAGAAGGTTTTGTACTCTTATAAAATCTCTTATCTAAACAAGTGTCATACAGACCACCACATTCATATCTCCTATTATAGTTGAGTTTTTATATGTGTATAGTATGACATAGGCTCAAAACTGATTTTTCTATTCTGAACACCTAGATACTCCAAAATACTTTCTTGAAGAAGTCAACCTTGCTTTCCTGCTCTGCAGTGTCATCTTTGTCTTATGAATAAGGATCAGTCTATTTCTTTACCCTGTATTCAGTTTCATTTTTCTATTTGTCAAGCCTTATATAAATATGACACTCTCTGAGTTACTATAGCTTTGTAACAAGTTTTGATAACTAGTGTGAATCTTTCAGTTATGTTTTATTTCTTCAAGATAGTCTTGACCATTTTGGGACTCATTCCATTTTGATACACACTTTAGGATCCACATACGCATAGTTCCAAAATCAAATGCTGCAGTTTTATTTGGAATAGTTTCCAATCTACAGATCAATTTGAATAGAATTGGCATTTTTCAGATATGAGTCTCCCAGTGCACTTTATAATCCAAGATTTGTTCAGCAAATTATATATTCATCTGAAAACATTTTATTTCAATTGTCGTGGTCTTACACACGTTACTTAAAATTTAATTCAGCTCCGGTTTTCTCATCCTCAGTGCTATCGACATTTTGGTGATGATAAGCTTTGTTGTGAGGGTCCCTCCTAGACATTGTGGGATGTTTAATGCCTCTGACCTCTAGCTACTAGATGCCAGCACCTGTGACAAGCAACAGTATTTCCAGACATTGCCAAGTGAACCAGGAGACAAAATTGTCCCACGGGATCTAGATATGTAAGAGGTTTAATTTTTTGTATTAAATCTTAACAAACATTAAAAAATGGGCACAAATGATAAGTGTATATACCATTAAACATATAGTTATAGATCATTTATTATCATTGCTGGACAGTAATGTATTATATGAATACACAGTTTCTATTTGATTCATTGATAATATTTTAAATATCAGTAGTCATTAAAAATTTTTTGGATATATATATATGTAAACAGACAGATACATACACATGTGTAAATATATGAAAACCTGTATGTTAAATATGCTAAATGTTATATACTTTCATGTGTATAGACATTTGGATTTGTGTATACACATACAAATATACAGATACATTAAAACCAAAAGGAAATTTGAACATCTACAACCACAATTAGAAAAATAACCTCTAATATTTTCTGATATTTTTGAACAATGTCTCCATGATGGTAAAGTCTTAAGTTTGTGTGCATGAGAAATGAAACGAAACACAAAAGGCTTTTATCAAGTTATAAACACCAATGACTCAACCATCTATCCCTGGGATTTGATGAAAATATTTTTAAACAATATGAACCTATTGATGAGAAATGAGTCAATAAATCAGAATATAATCATGTTCATCATAAATATAAGTCTACCTGTGACATTAAAACTGTCTTAGACAATCTGTGAAAGAATTATAACTGTGCAGGTGTTTTGGAAGTACGTTTAAAACTAAGAGCTGTACATATAATCGATTTCACATGAATAAATTATATTACTATTTTTACACAAACTGTTATACCTACTTTCTAGTGTTTATTCACTCTGAGAATATGCTACTTTGTCTCTCAGTTTCAACACAGCTTTCTTCACCTCCTTGTTTCTCAGGGTGTACACAACAGGGTTGAGAAGCGGTGTCAGCACAGTGTAGAAAACAGCCACAACCCCATCCACAGCTTTCCTGGAGCCTGGTCTCAGGTAAATGAAAAGACCAGGGCCAAAGAAGCAAAGGACCACAATACAGTGGGAGGCACAGGTCTGAAAGGCTCTGCGTCTTCCTTCTGAAGTGCGGATCCGCAGGATGGAACAGACGATGAACACGTAGGACAGCGCTATCAGGAGGAAGCAGCCTGAGCCCACTATTCCAACAGTCACAAAAATGACAATCTCGATGGCCAAGGTGTCTGCACAGGCCAGTTTCAGGATGGGTGGTGCATCACACAAATAGTGCTGTATCTGGTTAGGTCCACAGTAGGGTAAATGGAAAGTCAATGTGGTCTGGACAGCAGAGTGCAGAGAGCCACTGAGCCAAGTGCTGGCGGCCAGGAGGGCACATGTGCTCCCACTCATTATGCTGGTGTACCTGAGCGGGTAACTGATGGCCAGGTAGCGATCATAGGACATGACCGTGTAGAGGAAACACTCAGTGCTCCCCAGGAAGTGAAAAAAATAGAGCTGGGCCACGCAGCTGTGGAAGGAGATAGCCCTGCCGCTTGGGAACACCAAGGTCATCAGCATTTTGGGCACCGTGACAGTAGAGAACCACATGTCAATGAAGGACAGGTTGGTGAGGAAGTAGTACATGGGGGTGTGGAGGTGAGAATCCACCCTGATCACCAGCAGGATGAGGAGGTTCCCCAGCACAGTGAGCACATAAACCACCAGGAAGATTCCAAAGAGGGGGGCATCCAGCACTGGAGAATGGGGAAGACCCGTGAGAATGAATACCGTCACAAGGCTACTGTTAGACATTTCTTCTCATCTTTTATCTCTCTCCCTCTGAGGATATAAAGAGCACCCAGCATTTAGCACATAATTGAGAAATGAGAATCGATTTTCTATGTGGAAACTACATTAACCAAGTAGATAATTCTGGAGTGATTCTGTACTTTGCTTGTTACAAAGCTTCCTTCAAAGAAATGATGATGAAATTAGCCTCTCTATGTGTTAGCCTCTCTAACACACATCCACACAGTTGCACACACACAGAGACACAAATGCAGAAGAACATAGGAGAAACACACTGTATTCGACTGTCATTGATTAAAATAAAAATACCACACTTTGTGGCATAAAACATGTAAACTTTTTTTTTTTTAAATTTATTTTAAACTTTTTATCTCACCTTCTCTGTGGTTCAGCTGGATCCTCCGCTGAGGGCCTCATCAGGTTTCAATCAATGTGTCACCAGAAGCTTTAATCTCATTGGAGGCTTACAATCCTCTTCCTAGCCTATTGCAAGTGTTGGTAGGATCTCATTTCTCGCAGTTTTTGGACAGAGGTCTCTGGTATTTTTGCTGGTTTTTGGTAGGACATATCAATCTCAGCTTACAGATGTCACCCTATGTCCTAAAATCTTCTTTGCCCTACCTTCAATGACATGACAGCTTACTTCTTCAAAGTCAGAAAATAATCTCTCTCTAGTTTGCTGTAGCAAAAAGTTTTGTAACATAATAGTCACATCATAGTAACATCATAGTTTTGTAACATCATAGTCACAGGTTCCATCTGCACTCAAAGAGATGTTATTATATAGGAAGTGTATACCAGTGGGCAGGAATTTTGGGGGCTCCTTGGAATTCTACCTACCATATTCTATTTTCATTGCAGAGTTCATGGAAAAACTTAAAGGAACAAGAATCTAATTGTTACTAGGAATGAAATCCAGTACACATAAATCATTCACTAGTTTCCTCATATGTTATTATATTTGACATCACTAACATCACATACCTTGCTGAGAAATTATAAGCATTAAATAAGATCATATATATATATATATATATATATATATATACACACACATATAATGTACATATACAGTACTAAGTACTATGCCTGGCAGGTGATAACTGCTCAATAAATGATAGTGAATCTTACAACATTGTGCCTTGCATCAGTACTATGGATGTGCCATTTTTGATCTTAGATTGAAAGAGAGGACCTATATTCTCTTAGTGTTTTCAGAGAGCCCTTCTCAATCTAAGAGTTATGTCTTTCTGGACTATTTCATGCCCAATACTATTATTGGTGTCCTCACTACTGCCTGCTTTTAAAGGGCTTCTCTCAGAGCAGATGGGAATGTCAGCATAAGTCTATAGTGGGATTTCCACACCCTCCCAAATGCTCCAGAGAGCACCAAGCTTCATACATGAATGCCTCCTGTTTCTCTCATAATAGGCCATCCCCTGGAAGGCTCTACAATCATGACATTCATATGTGATCTCCCAACTACAATCTACTAGCTAGCTTTCTATTGTACATCACTCTGTCCTAGATGTCTAAATGTTTCCAAATATGGGCTTGGTTACAGATAATATTTTGCCACCCCTACCGTATTCACCTCCTCCACATATTCATAAGCCCAGGCAATGTTCTCATAATAAAAGATAATTCTGTCAAGTCTATGTTTATCTTTAACACCTAACACCTAAGACAGGAAAAGAGCACCGATGCAGGAGGAAGAGATATAGGTTGGCATGAAGTCAAGAAAAGCTGAGATTTTGTACAATTGGTATTCAGGTTGAAATAATGTTTTTAACTGAACACAAAATATTTTCTTAGTCCAGGCTTATTATGATCTGTGGGGAAGACTATGACACTGATTCACCAGTCAGCGGAAGAAACCAGGATATCCGTAGTTTACAGAACTCAGGTAAAATGTTATGCAGTTGACAATATATTAAAGCAAGGTTTTTCAAATATGTTAAAAAAAAAAAGCAGAAACAGCATTATTGTAATCACCAATATGGGATTCAGAACCTTAAACATAGAACCAATAGAACCCTGAAATTTCTGCTGAACCAGAAGGACCCAATCCTCATGAATGCAGCATAATCAGATTTGATGAAATATAAAAATTTTTATCAGGTGAAGTCAAATGTTGCCTGATACCTGAGGCAGGAGTCTCAAACAGTAGAGACAACGTTTGCCTTGACTATCGCCGGTGTGGACATTTGGTCCCTATTTGTATACCCTCAATTACTCTCAATCTACCTTGATAAATCAATTTTAGACAAGTTCTATTAATTCCTGAATATCTTAGCTCTGAATGAAAGTTAAAGAAAAGAAGGGAAGTTGGAGAAAATAAATGAAGTCTACATTTCTAAAGACTCACCTTGCAGTATGTGATTCTTTTTGGTAGTAACACTCATCTGACTTTCTCCCCAATTTTTCATTTTCTACCCACTATGTATAGGCACTAGTTTGCAAGGTTAACTCAAAGAATAGGTGCACAGTGTTGAGAAACAGCAGTCCGTTTGTATTTAGGGACCACACTAGTTGAATTGCAGGGAATGAAAATGAACATGGGTAGGAACTTAACTTGATCTCTGTCTCAGTGGATGGGATTGCTCTGGGGCTTTCATGTTCCCTTGGTGAGCACAAAATAATAGGAAGAGACCAATGAACACTTCTTCAGAAGCATGCACATATTTCCTTAGTGTTTCTTATGTGAACCCTCTTGAGAAGAGCCCATATCTTCCCATATCTAAGAAGAAAGGAGGATGAATGACTTACTCTTTTCCCTCACCAGTGATAGAGAGACACTCAGGACTGCTTGCTCTCAACTTAAAATTTTCCAGAGTCCCTAATGTCTCACTTGGTGCCCTGAAGCTCAGCATCACCCTCTCATTCATCTTTATATGCTAGTTCAAAACATCCAAATTCCCAAACTTTTTTTGTTGTTTAGAGTTTCACGGTGGCTTTTCCCCAAAGACAAAACTAAGATAATTATTTTCCAACTGTATAAGTAATAATTAGATAGCACTACTGTCTTAATTTTCATTGCTTTTACAAGCATGAGTAAACACTGTTCAACATGTCATGCATATACCTCCTTTTGAAAATTAACTTTTCAGGATCTTTACAGATTTCCTTCTTTTGAGATAATAATCTTTATTCTATGAACCTGTCTGAAGTTTTACAAGTTTGAAAACATTAATTAGTTATTTTATTGTAAGGTAAAATTTGCTTTCAAATAGCTGTCATTTAAATAATTTTTATTTGTACAGATACTTTTAATGTTCTAGGAAATTTTATGAATCTATTCCAATATATTTCTGATGTTGGTATTTTGCTTTCAAAGGATTTTCTTGCACACAGGTTTATTATTTTTCACTTATATAATACTTAATGCTTTAAGGTTTTTTCCTTCATTATATCCCTACTTTATTGGAAATTAATTTTACTTCACATGTAACATCAGGATGTTTTTATTTTCTAAAGAATTTTGATTATAGTTGTAATTACCTCATTAACAGAAGGTGTTTTTTAGGGATTTGGTTTAAATTCTTATTGTTTTGATTTCTCTCTTACAATTTGCTTATTAAATGCTGGCTTTATTACATTACATGCAAAGGAAATGAGCTGAAAAATTTCTATTTCAAAATGTAACTTTATTGTATCATTTTTATGTTTATCTTCTTCTGTTCATTTTTCTTTGAAATATATTTACTAACAGAATGTCATAAAGTCTACTATATTTATGTCTCTGATCCATTGTAATTGATTTTTTATGTAGATAGTGTGAGATCGGATCAAGATTATCTTTTCATTCTGAAACGCAGTAACTCAAAATAATTTACTGAAGATGGTATTATTGCTTTACTGCACTGCAGTGCCATCTTTGCTATATGAATATATACAAGTCTATTTATTTTATCTTCTCTTCACTTCCATACAAATACTTTACCAATACTACACTTTCTGAATTGCTAAAGCTTCATAATAGGCTTGATATCTAGTGTTGTGTATCTTTCAGGTATATTTTATTTCTGCAAGACTACCTTGACCATTTTCCTGATCCATTTCATTTCAATATACACTTTGGGATCTACATATTCCTATCTGCAAAATTAAATGCTGGGATTTTATTGGAGTTACACTGAATCTGTAGATCAATTTGAAGAGAATTGTTGTCTTTAAAATATGACTCTTCCATTCTATATACATATAATAATGCCCAATTTCTTTAGCAACTTTTATATTTTTTTGAAAATATCTTGTTATTTCTATTGTAGTAATCTTACCCATTCTTACTTAAAATTAATGTCAGATCAAGGTTTCTCATCCTCAGCACAATGGATGTTTTAGCCAAGATCAGTCTTGTGATGAGGGTCTGTGCTATGCGCTGTGGGATGTTTACTCACATCCCTGACCTCTAGCCACTGGGTGGGAGGACCTGTGACCTGCAACAATATTCAGACACTTCTAAGCAAAAATGGCAGGGCAAAATTGCCCTCACTGATGTAGATTTTTTTTTACATTGAATCTTACCAAACATAAATAAATGAATACAAAAGATAAACACATATATAATCTTACATGTAGCTATAGATCATATATTATTGCTGTGTAGTAATCCATTGTGTGAACATATAACAATTTATATCTCATTCATTATTTGACAGTCATTCTGAATAGTTGGCTACCTCTGTCTATTTAATATGTCATTTCTACAAATGTTTTAGGGGATATATGTATATATGTATATATGTGTGTGTGTTTAATTTTCATTACATGCCTATGTATTATATTTTATATGCTTTCTTTTGCATACAAATTTGGATTTGTATATATACATACAAATACATAAATATACTAAAACAATCAAAATGATATTTAAACAGAAATAACCACAAACAGAAAAGTGACCTCTGATATTTGTTATTCTTAAATAATATCCCCATTATTGTAAATTCTTAAATTTTTGTGCCCACACAAAAAATATGAAAAAATATATCAGCTTACATATATGAATAATTCCACTCTGTATTCCTGAGACCCAACTACAATATTTAAATTTTTAAAAGTTAAAAAAAAAACTATTGATAAGAAATTCATCTATAGATGCTACAAGCATGTTCATCATAAATAAAAATCTAGTTGTGGTTTTTAAAATGTCTTTGATAATCTGTGAAAGAATTATAACATGCAGGTGGTTTGAAATAATGTTTAATGCTGAGACCTATACATGTAATACATTTCACATGAATAACTAAATTATATTACTAAGTTTGAACAATCCAGCATATCTACATCCTACTCATCCTTAGGTACCCACTCAGTAATGCCAGGATGATGAAGCACATATGCCCTCCTGGGCCACTAGCATTTGGTTCACGTCCTGGAGAGTTCACTTCCTGGAGACATTTTCATTAGCTGGGGAGTGCTGAGTGTTTCCTTTATAGAGATTATAGGACATGACAGTGTAGAGGAAACATTCAGTGCTCCCCAGAAAGTAGAAGAAATAGAGTTGGGTCATGCAGCTGTGGAAGGAGATAGCCTTGACACCCAGGGACACCTAAGTCATCAGCATTTTGGGCACCATGACAGTAGAGAACCACATGTCAATGAAGGACAGGTTGGAGAGGAAGTAGTACACTAGTTCATGGGAGTGTGGAGGTGAGAATCCACCCTGATCACCAGCAGGATAACGAAGTTCCCCAGCACAGTGAGCACATAAACCACCAGAGATTCCAAAGAGGGGTTGTCCAGTGCTGGGGCATGGGGAAGGCCCATGAGGATAAACACTGTCATGAGACTGGCAATGGACAGCGTTCAATTGGACATTTCTTCTCACCCTTGGTCTCTTTCCCTCTGGGGATATAAAGAGCACCCAGCAGTTAGCAGTTAATTGGGAACTGAGAACCCATCTGTATGTGGAAACTGCATTAACCAGGTAGATAATTCTACAGTTATCCTGGACTTAGCTGTTATAAAGCTTCTTTCATAAAGATGAAGTAATTTTCTAGCCTCTCTCTCTCTCTCTTTCTCTCTTTCTCTCTCTCTCTCTCTCTCACACACACACACACAAATAAAGACCCACAACCAGAAGAAAATAGAAGAAACACACTGTATTAGATTGTCATTGGCTCTTAGGTGGGTGTTGAACAATGAGAACACATAGACACAGGGAGAGGAGCATCACACACTGAGGTTTATGGGGGTGACTAGGGGAGGGATAACATGGGGAGAAATGCCAGATATAGGTGATGGGGATGGAGGCAGCAAACCGCATTGCCATGTATGTACCTATGCAACAATTCTGCATGTTCTTCACATGTACCCCAGAACCTAAAATGCAATTATATATATATGGGGTACATGTAAATGACCACAAACAGTGGTATAAAACATGTTAATTTATTATTTCACCCTTTCTGGGGTCAGGTCAGTTAGATCCTCTGCTAAGGGTCTCAACAGGCTTCAATGTATCACCAGAGGGTAGAATCTCACCTGAGGCTTGGGATCATCCTTGAAGATTATTGTGGGTTTTGGCACAATTCAGTTCCTTGCAGTTTTAGGTCTGAGGTCCCAGTTTTGTTGTTGGTTGTTTGCAGGGCATATCACTCTCAGCTTATAGAAACCATTCTAGATCCTAAGATCATAGTTACCTGGACTTCTACAACATGACAGCTTACTTCTTCAATGCCAGCCAGAAAATCTCTCTCCAGTTTGCTCTGCCAACTTGTTATGTAATATAGTGGAATCAATGGAGTGATATCCTATCATTTTCCCAAGCTTCACCTACACTAAAGGGATGGTGATTATATACGGAGGATATACAAGGAAGATGGGTTTAGGGGATCTGTGAGGTTATTTTGAATTCTCTCTATCACATTTTATTAATTCTAAGAATTTACTTCTTTGTAGCAGCTAATATTTCATAAGTTTACAGTATACCAAATTCCTCCCTAGTTTTCTCACACATTACTTGGTATTACTAGCCTCACCTACCTGACTGAGAAGTTGTAAGTATTAAATAAGATAAAACATGTAAAGTACTTAACACTATGTCTGTCAGGTGACAACCGCTCAATAAATAACAGTGAGTCATGAAACACTGTGCCTTGCAGCAGTATTTCAGAATTGCCATTTTTGATCATAGAAAGTAAGAAAATACATACATTCTTTGTTATTTCCAGAGTTTTCTCAATTTCAAAGCCAGATTTTGAGGAAAGATTCACTCCTGTACTGCTACTGGTGCCCCCATTCCTGCTTCTTTTTAAGAAGGCATCTATCAGTCTCTCAGATCAGGTAAGGATCTTACCTTAGCACAACTCACAGTGGGATTCCCCACAACCTTCCAAATGATCCAGAGAACACCAAATTTCATACATGAATCCCCTCCTGCTTCTCTTTCACTTGACCATCCCCAAGAGGCTCTAGAAACATGACACTCATATGTGTTCTCCCAACTACAATCTACTAGGTATCATACATATACCTCTATATCCCAGATATCTAAATATTTTCTAATGTTAATTTTGTTAGAGAACATATTTTGCCCCTACCATTCTCCTTTACTCTACATACTCATAAACCTAGGAAATGTGCTCATAAGGGAAGACAATTCTATCAAATCTATGTTTCTTATTTAATATCTACCACTTGAGACAGGGAAAATGAAACCAAGGCAGGAGGGAAGACATCTGTTGGCTTGATGTAAAAAAAAAAAAAAAGTTGGTATTCTTTACAATAAAATTGAAGCAGAAATGATATTTTTAACTGAATACCATATATCATCTTAGTTCAGAATTTTTATTAATAGTTTATGGAAAAACACTATGAAACTCTTTCACCAATACAAAAGAAACAAAAGGATATCTATTGTTAGCAGAGCCAAGATACAATGTATCCTATATTTAGGGTATGTGATTTAGGCTACATTAAACCTAGGTTTTTTTCTAATATGAGAATAAATAACAGGGCTAGGATTATTGTAATCATCAATATAGATATTGGAACTCCAAAAAACTATATAATTCTAAAGCTTCTACAGCACCAGGAGGACCCAATCCCCAAGATTCCAATTTGATGAAATATAAAAATTTTTATCATGTGAAGTTCAAGATAGCCTGAGACTTAAGACAGGAGTGTCAATGAATGGAGTCAATGTTTGATTTGCTCATTTATGCTGTAGCTACTTAGACCCTATTTGTAGATCCTTAATTACTTTCTATCTATCTATCTATCTATCTATCTATCTATCTATCTATCTATGAAGAGAGACTAGATTACCAAAATTAGGATGAGCTCTAACAATTTCCAAGCAACATTGTTCTATGTGGAACTTTAAGATAAAAGGAGAGATACAGGAAAAATATGAGTTAAATTTGCCCCTTGAAGAATTCACCTTCCAGTATGTGATTCACTTCAATAATAAAACTCATCAGAGTTTTTTCTCCAAGTATTTTACTTTCTATACCCTATGTACAGGCACTAGTTTGAAAATTATCATTCAAAGAACAGATATGCAGTGTTGAGAAAGAGTAGTCCATTTCTACTCTTTCTAGGATCAAACTAGTTGAAGCTCAGGGAACTAAATTTGTGTTTCAGAGGCTGGGATTTCTCTTGGGCTTTCAGATTTCCTTTATGAACACAAAAACAACAGGAAGAGACCAATAAGACGTTCTTCATAAGCATGCCCACAATCCTTTAGAGTTTCTTATTTGAGCTCTCCTGAGAACAGCTCATGCCTTCCTGTAACTAATACTTATACCTAAGAGGAAGGGCTTACCTTTTCCCTCAGTAATTGAGAGACAACTCACAACTGTTTTTGCTCAACTTAAAATTTTCCACAATCCGTAACAGTCCTCACTTGTTGGCGCTCTCCAGCTCAGCACCACTGCCTCATTCACCATCTTTGTATGATGATTCAGAAGATTCAAATTCCCAAACATTTTTTGTTGTTTAGACTTTCAGAGTGGCTTTTTCCCACAGAAATACCTAACCTAATTATTTCCTGATTTTATAAATAACCATTAGATATTATTGCTGTCATACTTTTCATTGCTTTTATATGCATGAGTAAACACATATTATTTTATGAGTATGATATGGAACCCTATCACATGTGTATGACAAATGTATATCCTTTTATGAATTAGCTGTTCATAATTTTATTAACTTTATTATTTCTTTCTTTTGAGTTAATAGTCTTTTTCTTATTGATTGTCCAAACCTTTAGGAAACAAGAACATTAATACATCCTTTTATTATAAAATGTGCTTTCAAATTTGTCTTTATAAATATTTTTTTCCATAAACTTTTTTAGTGTTCTAAAATATTTTATCAATTGTGGTTTAAAAAGAGAATTTTTTTTTTCCTTTGCAACAGAGTCTCACTCTGTCTCCAGGTTGGACTGCAGTGGCACGATCTTGGCTCACTGCAACCTCTGTCTCCCAGGTTCAAGCGATTCTCCTGCCTCAGCCTACCAAGTAGCTGGAACTACAGGCATGTGTCACCACACCCAGCTAATTTTGTATTTTTAGTAGTGACAGATTTTCACCATGTTAGCCAAGATGGTCTCGATCTCTTGACCTTAAGATCCGCCTGCCTTGGCCTCCGCAAAAAAGCTGAAATTTGTTTTTAAAAGGTTTTCCTTACACCCACCTATATCAGTTTTTACTTATATAATATTTAATGCTTTTAAAAAATTTTTTCACTTCATTTGAAATTATTTTTACTTTAGTTGCAAAAGAATAATTTATTAATTTTCTACACAACTTGTGATTACATCTGTAATTAATTATATTGTTTTCTTAGAATTTTGGCTTCAGTTTTTTATTTATTATTTTGTTATTTCTTTTTTATTGCACTTTAGGTTCTGGGATACATGTGCAAAACATGCAGTATTGTTGCATAGGTACATACATGGCAATGTGGTTTGCTGCCTCCATGTCCCCGTCACCTATATCTGGCATTTCTCCCCATGTTATCCCTCCCCAACCTCCCATTTGCATACTAAGCTCTAGATTTATTAGTTATGATAAAAGAAAATGAGCTGCAAAATTTCTATTTTAAAATATATTTTTCCAATTTATTATTTTGACGGATAGCCCCTTTTGTTTGCTTTTAAAAAATACCCTCACTTAAACAAATGTCATAAAGACTACCACATTTCCATTTTGTATCTACCTGTAATTGATTTTTTTGGTATATGCATTATGAGATAAGCATAATTCTTTTTTTTTTTTCACCTGAATAGCTCAAAATAATTTACTGAAGATCTGGTCTTTCTCTATTGCATCACAGACCATCTTTGTCTGATGAATATGTATCAGTCTATTTTCTTACCTTGTATTCAGTTCCATTTTTTTATTTGTCAAGCCTCATAAAAACACCTGAAAACTCCCAGATTCATAGTAGCTTTTGGTATCAGGTGTTGTAAATCTTCTAATTTTATTTTATTTCTTCTGGATTATTGTGACTATTTTGAGAGTCTATTCCATTTTAATATACAACTTAGGATCCAAATGTTTGTATCTACAAAACCAAATGCTGGAATTTTATTTGGAATTCCATTACATCTACAGATTAATTTGAATAGAATTGATATATTTAAAATATGACTTCCAT